ATTTTTGGGTGAACTATCTCTTTAATAATTTACCTCATTACACTCCTAAGGTGAGCTAAAGTTGCACCGGAGTCCATAGGAACTCATCCAAAACTAATTAAAACATTCCACCATAACAAAACACTCATCTGATAGTGTACATCCCAGTATTCACGAGAGAGAGAGACTTTTACCTCTGACCAGTCTCCACCCATAATAGCCTGCCATCCAGGAGGGAGTGGCTGACAGAGGGAGGGAGAGGGAAAGCTGGAGAGCTCTGCGGTAGCAGTCAGCGCAAGAACCAAAGCAGAGAAATACTGAGAGAGAGAAGGAAAAAAGAAGGTAGATAGAGAAAGAACCACTGGAATTAGGAGCAAAGAAATAAAATAAAGGAGAAAGAGAGAAGTCTGGAAAATCATTTCAGACCACGACAGAAGAGACTGAGAGAGAGAGAGGGGAAAAAAGACAAAAACATGAATTAAAAGAAGTCTTGGACTTCACATTGGAGACACATGTCCACGTGTGGATTGTTACTGCTGCTGTGATTTGTCATTCCTCCTCACAGTGTGTGTGTGTTCTTGAGAGATTGAGGAGAGTGTGTGAGCCTGTCGTTCCTCTGGAGTCTACGGGACCATGGCACCTGTCAGGAATGGATGAACTTGAGGCTTAAAGGACTCTTGGAAGAGAAAGAAAGAGAAAAAAAACTGAAATAGTAAAAGGTAAGTTAATTTCTTTTCTAGCAATTTATAGTAATGCTGAGTCTTTGTATGCAGGAGTGTGTGCGAATGGTTCTCCCTTTTTAATTTGTGATCAGTGGAGATTCATTTGTATTAACCAGCATCTAAATATCTTGATCCTTTGATATTTACTTGAATACTTTGAATAAAGGCCATACAACTAGTTGAAAAAGTGAGAGTGTGTACATTGGGTAGGGAGCCCTCTACTGCGACAAGCTGTTCGACCTCTTTGTGCATGTGTGTATTTAACATATTGTGCAGTATGTGGATGAATGATGGCCTGGTATTGTGTTTCTAGATATGAATATTGTTAAGTCTGAGATCTTGTGTAATATATGGATAAATCATAGGTTGTTATGTTGTTCCAGTTATGAAAACTAGTTTAGATTGTGTGCGTCTCCGTATGTGTGTGGACTGACCTATCTGGACTGTTTTGTTAATATAGAATGATATTAAAAGATTAAATGGTCTGTGAATAAGGGAGGGAGAAAGTGACAGATAAAGAATGGAAGAGTGATAGGGAAAGACGTGTTCATTCTGTAAGTGTGTTTCTGCTGAAATATTTACCCTGGTGCAACTCTGACTGTTCCGGTGTTGCTCATGGGATGATGTTCTTTGGTTTGCACAAAGAGCAAAAGACTGTTATCATCACTCCATCATCAACATTTTATGATTTTTATATTTTCAAGCCCAAAACTATCATAGATTAATCAAAAGATGACAAGATAAGAGTGTATGCTCACACATAAACACATACATTTAGTTCTTTCTTAATGGAAATGTATAGTAGACTTATATTAATCTTATTTAAAAAAAAACAAATCTTTAAACAAATATATGTGTGTGTGTGTGTGTGTGTGTGTGTGTGCTGTGTATATTTATATGTATATATAAATATTGACACATACATGTATATATTTAAAAAAAAATATATGTAATATATATTATATATATCATATATAAATATGAATATATGGACATGTAAATATTTCTTGAATATATGCATGTATGTGTTAATATTTATACATGCATATAAATATACAAAGTATACACATATATATTATGTAAACAAACTTTTATTTTGGATAATCGATTTGACAGCATTATTTGTCAATCACTGAGTTTTCACTGAGAACATCCCGGACGTCCCAAAAGAGTGGGTTTGTCAGATTTTGTATGTATAAGTATCAGTTTTGTATGTATGCACACAAAAACACACATAATCCATACCATGCACTACCCAAAATAGTAATTAGACACACAAACACTCACATACCTACCCTCACTCAAACACACACACACACACACACACACACACACACCACAAAAGTGTTCACACAGAAACACAGTGTGTTTTTGGTGAGGAGAAGAATGTTGTGTTGTTTTAGTGGCGAATCTGAGCGAGCATTGTGTGTGCTTGTGTGTGTTTACATGCAACAACTCATGCACACACAACTGAAAGGTCCCAGACTCTCCTTTAATGTGCATCTCCAAGTGACTTTCTTTATTTCTCTCTGGCTCCTTGATTCCTGCTCTCAGGATTAGGGGGTGGGTAGAGAGACAGAGAGAGCGTAAGTAAGAGAGATTGAGAATGAGATGGCTTTTAGCCCGGTGCCTCAGCCGGTGTGGATCGTTAATTGAGCTGCTCCCATAGGGGGGTATCAGACCCCAGATTAATTTGGCTCCCCCTCCTTACACACACACTCGTGCTTTCACCCTCACACAAACTCACACTCTCTTTTAGGGCCCTTTATATCCATCTATTAGACCACAGTTGTCAGATGTCCTGTCACTGCTGGAGTTTCTATTCTGACAGGAGATTGCGGGTGGGTGTGGGTGGATGTCTCTATGGTGTGATTATTGATTGTTTTGCGGAGTGTAGTACTATTTAACTCTGGTGGGACCTGTAGGCCTGGACACATTAGGTTGTCTTGTAACAAAGAATTAATTATATACATCACTATAAATGTTTCTGGATTAAAGTAAAGCCATGGAAAATATTTCAGGGATCTTACAATTGTGTTCTCCAGGCCTGAAAAGTCATCTACATTTAATAAAATCATAGAAAAATAATGGGAAAGTCTATATTTAAGTTAAAAGATTTCATCAGCTATTGCTTTTGTTTAGAATTAAACTTGAGAACAAGCCATGGTGATGTCCGATTTGTAAGCAAATCATTTTGAGTCAGTTCTTTTCAGTTGAATCAGTTCACTAAATGATTCATTAATGAAACTTAATAATCAAAATGATTTTTATGTAATCACACATGCTTGAAAAGGATGTGAAAAGCTGTTGGTCAAAAAGTGTGGGAACCCTAAAATGAAACCTTAAGTTTAAGGACATTCCTGGTAGATGAAGCAACCACAGAAAATAATTTAAAACTTCCTTTAAATACTTTTGTTACATAATCTGTTCTCCATTGTTGCACTATTATGAAAGTTGCAGGCAGATGAAGACATAATAAATACTCTATTATTGAATATTTGTCTTTATTTTGTGGTTGAGGATACTGGGTTTGTGCCTGCAGCATCGTCTCTAGATCAGCAATGTGACACAGTGACTCATCATTTTAAGATGTTCAGTCCAAATGAAGATTGATCAGATCCTCACCTCCTACCTCACATGTTTAGATAGTGTATATGGATGCTACTGAAAGGATGAACAACTGTGTCTTGTGGCCCAAAACCAGATAAAAACTATCTTGTAAAGTGGCACATGGTGTAGTGGACGGATAGAGGAGCGGTTTAACTCCACGTGTTTCTGAGAAGTGCGGGATTATGTGAACTCCCTCCTCTTGAGTGTTTGCTAGAAACATCATGCAGATAACTGCAGTAGCTCTTCAGATATAGGTTCCAAACGTATAAATCCAGCATGGTCACTCTTGTCTCCTCCTGGGCTCGGTGAGCAGTAGATTTCATATTCAGACATGCCATTCTGACATCTGTCAGAAATTTATTACTCAATAACATAAAGATGACTGCTCTGAAAATTAATATTCTGTCATGTTAGTGGTGTTTTTTTATGTTGAAATTTTGTATAATACAAACCAACAACTACGGTTCGTTTAAAGGGGTCATATGATGCTGCTAAAAAGAACATTATTTTGTGTACTTGGTGTAATGAAATGTATTTATGTGGTTTAAAGTTAAAAAAACATTATTTTCCACATACTGTACATTATTGTTTCTCCTCTATGCCCCGCCTTTTTGAAACGCGTCGATTTTTACAAAGCTCATCGGTCTGAAAATCCATCGTTGTGATTGGCCGAATACCTCAAGCGTGTGACGGAAATGTTACGCCCCTCACCATTCTGTTGATTCCGTGTCCTGGCCTGGAGCGACGAGACAAAAACATTAAAACCCACACAAACGAGGCATTTGTTGCATCCAGTGGGTACATAATTATGGATTATAATGACTTATACTCTCTTTTTACGCGTTGCGTTGCATCGCGCCGCGTAAACATAAAACCCTGTCTGCGTTTGTGATCGGAGAAATGACAAACAAGCACTACTCTGCACTGCTCAAAACTTGCGTTTGAATCATCAGTTGCAAATCCTTTCAATGAAAACGTGCTTACAGTCTGTGAGTCAGAACAGCCGGCATTGTAGTCAACTCTCCCAGGATCAGTATGGCTTAAATCATTTTTTTTAACCACAATGCTTAAAAACATATTCAAATGGTGAGTTTTCATGACCATGGCACACAGCAACGTGACGTGAGCATGCTAAATAGGCTAAAGCTTGTTGCAAAAATGACCATGACTATAGTATGTTAGGGGAAAATAGTAAGGAGATATTTGAATTATTTATTAATAAACTAATGTTTTATGAGTCAGTTTCGCAAAGATGAAGTTCGCTGAGTTTCGGTTCATTTTTGTGAAGCGCTCCTGTTCAAGACCCGAGACGGCGAGCGCATCCTATTTGTTTGTTTGTTTTTTTATTTACAACGTTTTTTTGATATTGTGAGTGCACACAAATAAAAATAGATCCTTTACAGTAGTTCCGAACGATGTATTATTCTTACCTTTATGAGCAAAAATTACGGTGTATTTAATTTGTTTCCACTGATGTCCTGAAGTGCGCTTTCAGCTTCCACTCTCCGCACAAACGATTGGATATGCACCTAATAGCACACATTTGTATAGGTTAAATGTTTAAACTAACATTGTGATGTGCTTTAAGTATTTTATATCTATAGATTTTATTTTCGGCAAGTCGTAATTACAACATCGTCTGACATTGTCTCATATGATGCTCATAAGTTTCTTCATATTGCGTTAGCATCTGATAACACCAAATCAGTAAAAGAATAAAAATTGCACTACGAATGATTAGCCTGTTTTTGAACTTCCTGTTTTTCCCTGCTTGAGAATTTCTGTCCAATGAATGGATGACCTTAGCACACGTGTGGTTTTGTTTAGAATTTCTGGTTCTCTTGCAAAAAGGCCAGGCCTGAAAGCGAACCGCACCAAACTAAAAAAATCAACATTGTATTTGGTCCGGACCACTACTTTGTTCACAAAGCAAGTGAACTAGCAGGATTTTCCTGGTGTGAATGCACCCTTGTTTTTAGCATTTAAATTGATTGATTTTAGTTTTTGGTGTTTTATTTAAAAAAAAAAATTTTTTAGACAAAGTAGTATAGAATTGTATTATTGTAAATGTATTACTTATTGGCCATTAACAGCTTATCGTCCAGAATTTTAATTGTTAAACGCCCAAATAAAACGCCTTTAAAAGCCTTTTATTAGGCTACTGATATGACTGGAGCAATCATCTCATTTGTAAATGATTTTACACTTAAAAAATACAATTCATTTCTTTTTGTAAAACTTTTTCAAGGAGAAAAATACTGAGTGCATTTTTAATGTGTGTTGTTTACTGTAGTCGGTTCACACATACTGTAACACCACCGCAGTGACACTTCATAACAAGCGGTATTGTAAACTTTTACAGTCTTTTCAAGTCTGAATTAATAATT